CGCGTATGGGAATCTTGCTGGCTGCAAAGTAAAGGGTAAAATGGGTTGTCCTTTATGTGGAAAAAATACAGATAGCATGTGGTTGAAATTCAGCAGAAAACATGTCTTTATGTGCCATAGAAAGGGTCTGCCCCCAACACATAGTTTTAGAGGGAAGAGTCATGGTTTGATGGAAAAGCTGAACATGGGAGGAAGAGGAGATATTAAGTGGCCAGGAGATTTATCAAAACCTGAAAAACTTTAAAAATAGCTTTGGGAACTTGAAACAACATGCAAATAAGAGAAAACGTGTTGAATGTACTAGATCAAGTTCTGATAGTGATGATCTATCTAGTGAGTCAGAGGAGGATGAAGAGGAAGAGGTAACAGTAGATGAGGAGGAGTTATCAAGATGGAAGAACCAGCAACAAGAAGAACCAGCTGAAGTTCAAGCTGAAGATCCAGATCATTTGGAACCACAACATGAAGAACCAGCTGAGGTTCAAGTAGAAGTCCAAATGGGTGATAAAGAACCACAACATGAAGAACCAGCTGAGGTTCAAGTAGAAGTCCAAATGGGTGATAAAGAACCTGATGTGGAAGAGCCAGAAGGAGAGATAGAATTTTCTGAGGGTCATGAGGTTGCTATTGAACCTAAGAGTAAGAGACAGCGAGGACCAACTAGGATGAAAGACATAGCCAAGGATCCAAATACCAGAGTTAGAGTAGAGTACAATATCATGGGAGAGCCTATTGGTAAAGGGTCAGTTAAGCTGTCATCATATGTTGGTGCATTGGTCCGAGAACATGTTCCTATCACAATTGATCGTTGGACAAAAATAGGTGAAGAAATCAAGACACTTCTCTGGAAATCTGTCCAGGTATCATTTGTCTAATTTTTCTTGTATTGCATTACGTTTTATCAGATATTGTAATTAAATTTACTGTTTTTTTCTATTGAGTGCAGGCTAGGTTTGAACTAGATGAAGAGTACCAAAAGGTTGCAGTGCTTAAGCAGATGGGATGTTTGTGGAGGTCCTGGAAATCAAAGCAAGTTACAAACATCAGAGAAGCTAAGACTAACCAGCAGAGGATGAATCTGCGACTTAAAAATGTTTCTCCAACCGATTGGCGTAAATTTGTGAAGCTCAAAACTAGCCAAGAATTTAAGGTATGCATCTGGAATCAGGATAATTAAGTTTATGTACTATATAGTATATTACAAGTTAACATTCATCTGTTAGGTTGTAAGCGATAGCTACAAGGAAAGAAGGCGCAAACAAATTCCTCACACTTGTAGTCGCAAGGGAATGGTTAGACTAGCAGAAGATATGGTAATCACATGACAGTTATGTTGTTTATATTGCTCAGCTTCTTTTTAAAACACTTATTAATATGTAATGATTTTTGTTTGGTTTAGAAAACTGGTAGTGCAGACCCATCTGAAGTGACAAGGCTAAAGGTTTGGGTTAAATCACGTACCAAGAAAGATGGTACACCAGTGAACACTAATGCTGCTGAAAAGATTGTGAGTTTAAAATTTTGCTTCTAATGATGTGCATATTGGCATTTGATTCTTAATCTGCTATTGAATCTGTATCTTATGAGTTGCAGAAAAAGGCAAATGAGATTGTTAACAGTGATGATCCATCGACTGCAACAAATGAAGCACAACAAGATTCACTTAGCCAACTGTTAGGGCCTGACAATCCTGGTAGAATGAGGGCAATGGGTAGAAATATGAATAAGACCAAGTTAGCTTGTTTCCAAGTGAAGCACAAGTGTATGGCTCAAATGCAAGAGAATCAGATTCAGCTCCAGCAGAAGGTCACTGAGTTAGAAGATGTAATTCTGAAAATGAAGAATCAGGTTAGAAACTTATCTATTTATACATTGTGAAGCTTATCTATTTATACATAAAGAAGCTCAAATAGTTCATAGTATTTGACTTTGTTTTTTATGTAACAGAGACAATCACCTGAGGTTGGTGAAAACT